GGCCTCACTGGAGTCCATCCTTCTCTGATTCTAGCAGCAGGCTTTTGCTTTAGGCTCTAAAAATTTGGCATTATTTATCAAATAATTCAATCTTTCCCTAAGTCATTGTTTTAAATCTTTGAAAAATTACAGAATATTTCTCTAAAATGAAGACTAAAAGAAAAGGTATTATTGACCTAAAGGTCAATATCATTCAAAATCATTCAAAATACAAAAAAAATTAGTGTGGCCATACTTTAACACATGTTCCTTTACTCTATTAACATAGGCATATAACTCTTATTAAGAGCAGCAATGAAAGTTTCAACTATGCCAAGAAATATAAGACTGAAAATATCAAAGGTTGTAAGAGCATATGGAATTTTAAATGCCTAAATCCTTTCTGGAGAAATCAAAGAATGCTTTCTTCTAACGCCCTTGTTTTCTTCTCACCCGAGGAGGACTGACAGTGTCTTTGATTAAAAGAACACTTTGATTGAAGTGTTTTTTAAAAGGAATATATTTTTTTAAGATTTTGCTTTCTGTTATTTGCAGTTTAAGTTTACTTTTCCTCTTTAACATGACAAAAAGATTGATTTTTTCAGCCTGTCTTCTAATAAATAGGACTTTAATAATGTTTTCTGTAATTTATTCCCTTAATGTTTATTTCTAATTAAGTGATAACATTTTACTAAAGGGGTGTGGAGATAGTCTGCTCATTAGCATGTCTGAGCATCTGGTTCCATTCCCAGGACAGGAAAACAAAAGATTATGAAACTGTAACCACTTTGTACATCACTTTAACCTTTAGAATAATATTAAAAATCTTAAAAATCAAACATAAAAACTAGCCTCCCAAATATCAAATACTATTAAAACCAACACAATTACTCACTATTCTAACTTTTCTTTCTTTCCTTCTTTCTTTCTTCCTTTTCTTTTTTTTTTTTTAACTGTATTTTTTTTTTTTTGTCCTTTCTTTTTTGGTACTGGGGATCGAACCCAGGACGTTGCACTTGCTAGGCAAGCGCTTTGCCACTGAGCTACATCCCAGCCCTCACTTGAGCCACAGCGCCACTTCCGGCTTTTTTTTCTTTTTGCTTATGTGGTGCTGAGGAATCGAACCCAGGGCCTCAGGCATACAAGGCAAGCGCTCTACCACTGAGCCACCTTCCCAGCCCTTCTTTCTTCCTTTTCTTCCTCTATTTCTTTTCCTCTCCTTCCCCCTCCTACTTACTTTGTGTGGTACCAAGGATTAAACTCATAGCTTCATTTATGCTAAGTTCATGTTGAACATAGACCTAAACTGACCACTAACCCAAAAAGACAGAGTTTTGTTTGTTTGTTTGCTTGCTTGCTTGCTTGCTTGCTTGCTTGCTTGCTTGCTTTTGTCGGTTGTCTGGGCTTGTGCGCTGTCCCTGGGCTCTTCCGCTCAAGGTAAGCACTCTACCACTTGAGCCACAGCACCACTTCCTGTTTTCTGAGTGGTTTATTGGAGATAAAAGTCTCAGGACTTTCCTGCCTAGGCTGGCTTTGAACTGTGATCCTAAGCTTACAGGTGTGAACCACAGGTGCATGGTTAAGACAGCGTTTTTTATAACCTAGAAAAAGCATGCCCTTACCAAAAAGCTAATCTGTTATTGCCCTGAATTTGAATTTCTAGCCTCTAGAACTGTGAGAAATAAATTTCTGTGTTAGTAAGTCACCAGTCTGTGATAGTCTATTAAAGCAATATGAATAGGCCATTCCTTTAAATACTTTGAAAACAATATAGATTGGATTTTTCCTAATAATATATTAAACTGTGACATGTAATAAATACAATGATTGCTCACTTTTATTTCAAATATCTCCTACTTTGGGTAGGGGAACCCTTTGAGCTGGCTCAGGTGTCTCTTTGGCCTGGTCCTAGAAATTTACAAGCCCTCTGTTAGCTAGTAGGAAATGTTCTCACATTCTTTAGTGCTTGCTTTAGCCTGATTCTGATATCAGCTATTTCTCTAGGGAGTGTTATTTCCTTTGAGTAGGGAATAGTTTATAGATCAAGATCTGGCCATTAGCTGTCCAGTTGTGCTGGTCACTGGGATGAGATATTGGTATAAACAAATACAGTGTAAGAGACATCAGTGTAAATAAGTACATAAGCTCATCTACATAAAATACTTCTCAGTGTATATGTTGATACTTCTAGTTCCAACCTAATTTTTTTTTTTTTTTTTTGTCAGTTGTGAAGCTGGAACTCAGGGCCTAGATGCTGACCCTGAGCTTTTTTTCTCAAAGCTAGCACTCTACCACTTTGAGCCACAGCTCCACTTCTGGTTTTTGAGTGGTTAATTGAAGATAAGAGTCTCTTGGGGACTTTTCTGCCTGGGCTGGCTTTGAACCTTGATCCTCAGATCTAAGCCTCCTGAACAGCTAGAATTACAGGTGTGAACCACTGCATCAGGCTTCCAACTTTATACTACATGGCTTGTATTTTCCTTCTGGGATTCTACTTCACATGAAGGTCAGCAAAGAAGCTGATATTTTAGGTGATTCTGAAATAACTAAGAGCCAGTCATGCAAAAATGTAGAAACAAGGGCTATGTTATAGTAAATTATATATATATATATATATATATATATATGTATATATATATACATACATACAGCTGACTTTTACTTCTATCTCATGCCTCTAAAATCTACATGTGTTAATAGTGGTTAACCATTAATATCATCCTTAGGTTACAGTATCAGAAGAGATCTGTGGCTTACTAGAAGATAGATAAAGGAACTTTGTGTCCTTTTTGGAGGAAATTGGTGCTTTTGTTGTTGTTTTAGGAAAGATATTTCATCATGTAAGATAGAAGCATTAATTTGCGGTCTGGGAAGGCTCAGCGGTAGAGTTCTTGCCTTGCATGCACGAGGCTCTGGGTTCGATTCCTCAGCACTACATAAACAGAAAAAGCTGGAAGCAGCACTATGGCTCTAGTGGTAGAGTGCTTGCCTTGAGCTGAAGAGCTGAGGGACAGCACCCAGGCCCAGAGTTCAAGCTCCACGACTGGATAAAACAAATACAAACTAAAAACAGCATTATTTTGCTTTTTTCATTATACATGTATAAGGTGATAAGTTGTATACCATGATATTTTAATGTACTTATATCCTCTTCATCTTTCTTCTCCTCCTCCTTTATCTCCTTTGGTGCAGGTTTATTGAGCCCAAGGCCTTGCCCTTGCTAGGTAAATGTTGCAGTACTAAGCTATACCCTAAGCCTAGTTGATTATCCTGATGCACACATATACAGTAAAGGGATTGCTATAGCCAAGTAACTTAATATACCTATTATTTCAGATGTTTAACAGTGCATGTCTATATGAGTATCTAAATATTACTCTTTTGGAAAATCATAGTATACAATGTTATTAACCAGTATTCATTTTCTACATTAGTTCATTTCTTTCATTCATCCCATACAATGCAACTTTGTACCCTTTGAATACAACTTTCCATTCCCTAAACCTGCCACCAGTGATTACTGTTCCACTTTGTTTCTATGTAATCGTGAAAAGTTTCCATACTTTAGCCAGGTGTTGCTTGTGGCTCACACCTGTAATCCTAGTTCCTCAGGAGGCTCAGATTTGAGGATCGCAGATTCAAAGCCAGCCCAGGCAGGAAAGTTCAAGAGACACTTATCTCCAACTAACCACCTCCCAAAACTCTGAAAATAGATCTATGCCTCAAGTGGTAGAGTGCTAGCCTTGAGCACAAAAGCTTAGGGACAGCATCCAGTTCCTGAGATTAAGTCCCGATACTGGCACACACACAAAAAAAGTTTTCACACTTTAAAGTAACAGTGCCATGGGCTGGAAAGGTGGCTCAGTGGTAGAGCACTTGCCTTGCATGCATGAGGCCCTGGGTTCGATTCCTCAGCACCACATAAGCAAAAAGAAAAAAGCCGGAAGTGGTGCTGTGGTTCAAGTGGTAGAGTGCTAGCCTTGAGCTGAAGAGCTGAGGGACAGCGCCCAGGCCCAGAGTTCAGGCCCCACGACCGGACCCAAAATAAATAAATAAATAAAGTAACAGTGCCATATATAAGTAGGGTCATGCTGTATTTCTTTTCTTTTCTTTTCTTTTTTGTGCCAGTCCTGGGGCTTGGACTCAGGGCCTTGGCACTGTCCCTGAGCTTCTTTTGCTCAAGGCTGGCAATATACTACTTGAGCCACAGTGCCACTTCTGGCTTTTTCTGTTTATGTAGTACTAAGGAATGGAACTCAGGACTTCATGCATGGTAGGCAAGCATTCTACCACTAAGCCTCATTCCCAGTCCAGGCTGATGATTTTTTTTGTTATTGTTGTTGGTCATAGGGTTTGAACTCTGGGCTTGGGTGCTGTCCCTGAGCTCTTCAGCTCAAGGCCTAGTGCTCTACTACTTATGACACAGCACCACTTCCAGTTTTCTGGTGGTTAATTGGAGATCAGAGTCTCACAGATTTTCCTGCCTGGGTTGGCTTTGAACCATGATCCTCAGATCTCAGCCTCCTCAGTAGCTAGAATTACAAGCATGAGCCACTGGCACCTGACTCAGGCTGATGATTTTTGACAGTATTTCCTCCTCCTCCTCCTCTTCTTCTTCTTTTTGTTTTTTGTTTTTTGTTTTTTTGTCGATCATGCGGCTTGAACTTTGTCTGTGCTTGGGCACTGTCCCTGCGCTCTTCAGCTCAAGGCAAGCACTCTACTGCTTGAGCCACAGCGCCACTTCTGGTTTTCTGGTGGTTTATTGGAGATAAGAGTCTCACGGACTTTTCTGCCCCAGCTGGCTTTGAACGGGGATTCTCAGATCTCAGCCTCCGTGAGACTCCTATCTCCAATAAACCACCAGAAAACCGGAAGTGGCGCTGTAGCTCAAGTGGTAGAGCGCTCGCCTTGAGCTGAAGAGCTGAGGGACAGCACCCAGGCCCAGAGTTCAAGCCCCACGACCGACAAAAAAAAAAAAAAAAAGAACAGGATAAGCAATAATAACACGTTAGGAGACTTAGAAGTTGGTAATTCAGTTTTAATTACCTAATTTCAGTGTACACAAGATTTCAAAAGAGAAAATGTATCATTCCACATTAGGTTAAGTTTTATATATTGACCTCTGTGTTTCTTCCTGCAAATATTTCCTTAATGTGGCCATCATTTCGATCATCATAAAGTATTGTGTCCCCTACATTTCCAGTATATTCTTCTAATGAAATGGTTGACAAGTATGAAAAGACTTTTTCCACAAGAGGTTCTGTGAGTAAAGACTTTGGAGAATTCCTTTTTGCTAGAGAATCATCAGAAAACCAGTCATCAGCTGCTTCTAGACTTTGGCTACAATAAGAATTCGAATTCGATGGTAAAGTTGATAAGCTTACTGCAACACTGCTGCAGATGGTTGCTGAGCTAGTCTCTGGGTGGTTGCAGACGTTTTTTGTTGTTTGGTGGAGTTCATCTTTAGGGTGATTTTCAATTGCTGTAAGAAATTACATATTGGTGAGCCAAATCTTAATTACACAACAATATGTCTTTTTAAAATTCATATACTTTTAGGGATATAATGGGAAGGCTAATGAGTTGCTGTCATCATCTGCACAATATTAACAGGGAACTAGTGATGCTCCATAGTAGAAAAGTCTATTCTAAATAAAATTCCCTTTTTTTTTGTAGGAAAAGATTGGAGGTAGACTAGAAATCCCAGTTCTGGAACATTCATTAAAAGAGATATATAAATATAGCTTAATATCGCCTTGTTAAAAAGAAAACACAAAACATGCTTTCTTGAGTAAGCAGATTACAAAGTGTTTAGTCCACAGTGAGAAGAGCTGATGGTAGCTCTGTAGCAATAATTGTAATATACATTTCCAAGCACCCTTACAATTTGTGAAGCATTTTTCCCTATTATCATAACTCACTTATTTTCTCAATAATTTTTAGGTAGTTACTAGTACCACTCTACAAAAGAAGAAAATGAGACTTAAAGAAATGACCCATCACAAATTGGGTACATAATGCATTTCAAGAAGAGGGAAGGGCTAGGCACTGGTGGCTCATGCCTATAATCCTAGCTACTTGGAGGCTGAGATCTGAGGATTGTGGCTCAAAGCCCAGCCCAGACAAAAAAGGCCCAGAGACTCTTATCTCCAATTAGTGATCAGAAAACCAGAAGTGGTGCTATGGCTCATAGTGATAGAGTGCTGCCCTTGAGAAAAAGCTCAGGGACAGTGCCCAGGCCCTAAGTCCTATGACTGACAAAAAACAAAAACAAAAACAAGTCAAGCAGAAAAGGTCAGATAATGTAATGTTAGGAAAATGAACCCTTAGATATGTATTTAAATGTTTTTTTTCTTTCATGCATTTGTTTCTAATGCATTTATAAGATTATCTCTTTGGGGGCTGGGAAGGTGGCTCAGTGGTAGAGCACTTGCCTTGCATGCTCGAGGCCCTGGGTTCGATTCCTCAGCCCCACATAAGCAAAAAGAAAAAAAAAAGCCGGAAGTGGCACTGTGGCTCAAGTGGTAGAGTACTAGCCTTGAGCTGAAGAGCTGAGGGACAGTGCCCAGGCCCAGAGTTCAGGCCCCACGACCGGACCAAAAAAAAAAAAAAGATTATCTCTTTGTTGCTTTGTATGTCCCTCCCCCACAGTATAACCCCTGCTTTCACTATATTTGATGTTGGTATAATTTGTGGAGGAGATGGGGAAAAACAAGTCGTTTAAGGATACAGGTGGACCCGTTGCAACAATGAGAAGTACAAGTTGTCATGTCCAAAACGTTCTTTACAACTTTGGTGGGGGGGGGGGGAGGATTAGGGGATTAGGATGGGGAGGGATGTGAAGGGTAAACAAAGGAGGAGGCTACAATGCTTGATAAGAAATATACTCATTATCTTGCCCATGTAATTGTAACCCCTCTGTACAGTATGTTCACAATAAAAAAATAAAAATAAAACAAAAACAAAGAAGGAAGAGGAAGAGGAGGAAGGGGAAGATAGTGACAGAGGTGATGAAATTGATTGGAATGTTGTAAATGCGTGGAAATGAAATATTGAAATTACCTGCCAGACACTGGTGGCAGCTGACACCTGTAATCATAGCTGTTCAGGAAGCTGAGCTCTGAGGACCATGGTTTGAAGCTAGCCTGGGCAGGAAAGTCCCTGAGACTCTTACCTCAAATAACCACCAAAAAGTTGGAAGTGGAGATGTAGCTTAAGCAGTAGAGCACTAGCTTTGGACACAAAAACTGAAGGACAGTGCCCAAGCCCTGAGTTCAACCCCTAGGACCAGCACGCACACGCACGCGCGCACACACACACGCGCACACACACACACGCGCACACACACACGCGCGCGCACACACACACACACACACACACACACACACACACAAGAAAAGAAAAAAAGAAAAGATTCCTTTCTCTCTCATATATCTAATTTAAACTGATTAAAAAAAAAACAGAGTAGGGGCTGGGAAGGTGGCTCAGTGGTAGAGTGCTTGCCTTGCATGCATGAGGCCCTGGGTTCGATTCCTCAGCACCACATAAGCAAAAAGAAAAAAACCTGGAAGTGGTGCTATGGCTCAAGTGGTAGAGCGCTAGCCTTGAGCTGAAGAGCTGAGGGACAGCGTCCAGGCCCAGAGTTCAGACCCCACGACTAGACCCCCCCCAAAACAAACAAACAAAACAAGAGTAAATATGTTTACTCTGTTTTCATGCTTTTCCTATTACATTATTTAAGCTGTAAATTAGAAAATTACAAATATTACTTTTAGAAACTATCATATAATTCTCTAAAATACATACTATAAATCAACTTTTACACATTTTTCACATGCCTTAATATTTTTATATTATGTATGTATATCTTATATTTATATTTTACTGGTCCTGAACTCAGAGCTGGGTGCTGTGTATAAGCTTCTTTTACTTAAAGCTAGTGCTCTGGCATTTCACAGTTGTACTTCTGGCTTTTTCTGTGATTAATTGGAGATTAATTGGAGTCACATGAACTTTCCTGCCTGGACTGGCTTTGAACCATGATTTTCAGATACCAGCCTCCTGAGTAGCTAAGATTACAGGTGTGAGTCACTATTCCCAGCTTATATTCCGCATTTCTAAAATTATCTTTGGAGGTAATAAGATGTAACACACAATATCTAAAGTGTTACATAAAAAGTCAAGATGTTTTGTTGTTGTTGTTTTTGTCCTACTGGTTGCTCATTTTGACCCTCCAGCAATATTGCATGGCATTCTGTAAAACAACCTTGTTTCAATAGGAAACAAAATAAAATAGGAAACAAAAATGAAAGTTCATGTTTTTGAGACATAATATTGCAAATTTTGGTTTAAAACTTAGAAGTTTATCCATACACTAATAAATTAACATTCCTATTGAATCTGAATGGCAATTAAATAATAGGATAGCCACATGATTGTTCAAAGATATATTAAGTTATTAAGGAAAAGTACCTTTTACACGTTCTGCTTCTTTTTTCCTTTGCTCCTCCTACATAAAAAAAATTACTTAAGATGAGTTATAATTTCTGTATTTGACTTAGTATATTTATATAATAGATCAATTTAACATGATAAATTTTTATGGACATATTTTTTATGAATTTTTTGCCGAAATATCTTAACAGAGAAGAAAAATATTTGGAAAGAATTTGGATTGGCCCAAGGAGGGAATAAAGTGTGTGGAATATGGTTCAAACAAGATATTCTTTTATCCTCACTAAGACTAAATGTTCTACTAAATGGCCAAATGATCAAATGGTCAGAACTAGAGAGGGCTAAAAACTTAAGTAGAATTCTTATATTTACTCATTTGTCTAACTAAGTTAGCTAGCTAGTTAACTGTAACAATAAGAATGAATTCTAACTGACGGTCATTTCAAAAATAGGAATATTCTTTTTGTTGTTAGTGGTTGTGGGGTTGAACTTTTTGGCCAAGGCTAATGCTCTCCCACTTTGAGCCACAACTCCACTTCTGTTTTCTGGTGGTTAATTGGAGCCAGCCCAGGCTGGCTTTGAATTGTGATCCTCAGATCTCAGCCTCTTGCATATTTAGGATTACAGGCATGAACCACCAGGGCCCAGCCAGAAATATTGTTCTAATGCAAATAAAACATTCTTAAATAGTACATTTCACATGTGTCTGAGAAGCATAGAGTATGTCGGTTCATAAATAGTGTCAGAAAAAATAAATAGTGTCAGGATTGCCAGTTGTGCTTAAAGTGCTGGTTTGTGGATGCATTATCTGACCCTACAGAAACGTCCTCTGAGAGTAGTACTTGGAAGTATGGTTTGGGTTTTTTTGTTTGTTTTGTTGGTCGTGAGGCTTGAACTCTGGGCCTGGGCGCTGTCCTTCAGCAATTCAGCTGAAGGCAAGCACTCTACCACTTGAGCATAGTGCCACTTCCATTTTTCTGGTGGTTTATTGGAGATAAGAGTCGCACAGACTTTCCTGCCCAGGCTGGCTTTGAACTGTGATCCTCAGATCTCAGCCTCCTAAGTAGCTAGGATTATAGGCGTGAGCAACTGGTGCCCGGCTGGACGTATGTATTATAACACACTTTGCAAGTGATTATAATTCTGGTTTCCTCAGACCACTAGCTAGACACTAGACATAGAATGCTTGGGATGTAGTGGGTTAGGATGAATGTAAGAATATTTTTCTCTTCCTCTCTGTACAGTATTTTCACAATAAAAAAAAAAGAATATTTTTCTCTTGTGTTCTGGGAGAAAAAAATTGTTTTCTGTGTTGATTTATGTTATTCTATCTCCTGAAAAGTTTAGGATACATGTATGCATTCATGTATACATAAATTCATGCATTCTAACACACACATATACATATATACAGGACACATATATACATTCTAACACTTTTTTAGAAAACCATTTTTTTGTCAATTACATCTTTCTTTTATTTGGTACTGAGGTTTGAACTCAAAGCCTCACATTTGCTTGGCTTGTTTGCTCACAGCTGATTTTCTATGAGTTGAGACACATACTTCCAGCCTGGCATTTTGCTGGTTAATTGGAGATAAGCATTTCATGGATCTTGCTGCTGAGGCTGAATGCTCTGAAACTCAGTCTCTTGAGTAGCTAGGATTACAGGAAGTGAGCCTCACTTTCATCTTTTATTAATAAATGGCAGTATGGTATCCTGAACTTACCTTGTGTGGATTTAGGACCAATTTCTTTTGTAATTCCTACATAAATTACATTAGAATATTGCTTCTTAGAATGTAAGGTGCCTTTGAATTACCCTGGGAGCTTGTTAAAATGAAGATTCTTAGTAGGTCTGAAGTGGAATCTGGGTTCTGAGATTCTGCATTTTTAACTCACTTCCCAAGGTGACACCGATAGAATTGGCCTGGGAAGGAGAGTATGACCCTAGACTGATTAAAATTTTACCTTAATGACTAACAAAAATGGGCACTTATATGTGTTATGAGTAGATAGGTAGAATGTTTTTAGACTTTTAATCCACTTCTAGAAATGTCAAGTAAATAATTTTGGTTTTGTTTTAGTATCAAGTTCTCAGCAAGTTCATCCAACATGTTGAGCTTTTTTTTGGGGCGGGGGGGAGTCCGGTCGTGGGGCCTGAACTCTGGGCCTGGGCACTGTCCCTCAGCTCTTCAGCTCAAGGCTAGCGCTCTACCACTTGAGCCACAGCGCCACTTCTGGCTTTTTTTCTTTTTGCTTATGTGGTGCTGAGGAATCGAACCCAGGGCCTCAGGCATGCAAGGCAAGCGCTTTACCACTGAGCCACCTTCCCAGCCCCATGTTGAGCATTTTTTAAACCCTAGAATTAAAAATTCCAAGAATGAAGCAATAGATACATGGATAATGATATATAGATATTCATATAATAGTCTTTAAACTATTAAAATAGATGTTGCAGGTCATTCTCACTATAGAGATTGCCTACTTTCAGCCTAATAAACTTCCCTATTACTTTCACTATGTTTCATGTCTTGACTTAATTCTTCTGGATATAAGGACTGAGGTAGAGTTGTGCTTTCCAGTAATGTATTTTGGTGACATGACTTGGATGTCTTTTTATATGTGACTTGGTGAGTCAGATCCAACATGGATGTTTCTGAACCTTTGTCTGGGTTGAGAATATACCTATTTCCTTTGCTCTGTAAGCATTTTTCCACTGTTAGGATTCTGACTGCTTTCTTTTCCTCACCAATATTACCTTCAGGTTGCTGGGCTAGGCATGACTTGCTTTGAGATTTCTTCTAAACACTGTCCCTGCTCTCCTGTAGGGTTACTAAGTGCCAGATGCTTCCTTTTCCTACCAAGATCTCACTCAGCTCTCCAGCCTGCTTTTTCCCTGTCATATGTTCTTTGGGTTGACTGTTTGATTCTGTTCCAGTAACCCTGTGGAAGTGGGTTTGCTTGTCCCACGTTAGAAATGTTAGTGAGCCTGTCTCTAGAATCCCCCTCACATCAAATATGAAGACTGAATGTGGCTCTTATCCTCCAGTCCCTTTATTGACCTCTCCCTCCCATCTCTCATCTGCCATCTCCCTCCTCTCTCTCCTCCTTTCTCTCTCGCTTTCTCTCTCTGCTGCTACTGCTCTTTTCTGAACAGAACTGAGCTTTTCCCTTTAGACTCCTACCTCAGATAAAACATTCCAAGTATGCTTATCTATCTTTATTAAGGCACTTGCTTTGTTACTGGCTTACTGACCAAGCTTTCCAAAGGCTTCTCTTTGTGCTAGCTCAGATAGAATGAGATGAGCCAGAGGCCATTCACAGTTAATGCTGAAGAAACCATCAGGAAGTATCTGAAAAGTGTGCAGTGCCCCAGCCCTCTAGAGTAATACAGGATGTTTCAAAAGTGCCCCGCCCACTAATTTATCTAACTATTGAGCCAGGAGGATATCCCTCGCTCTTACCTATTCTCACAGGCCCAATCCCAGGTTGTGTCAAGACAACACTTTTTTTTCGGGGGGGGGGGTTGGGGAGGAAGAGCCTTGATCTCAGGGCCTGGGCACTGTCCCTGAGCTTCTTTTTGCCCAAGGCTAGCACTCTACCACTTGAGCCACAGCACCACTTCTGGCTTTTTCTGTTTATGTGGTACTGAGGAATCGAACACAGAGCTTCATACATGCTAGGCAAGCCCTCCACCATTAAGCCACATTCCCAGCCCAAGACAACACTCTTACTTGATCTTTTCTACTATAATGCTTCTAAATGGTCTGAGTTTTCCCCTATGTTCTCATTTTCATGTCCCTCTTACAAGATCTGGACCTGCAGAAAGGATATAGCATATGTGTCTGGCCTGTTCAAGACATTCTACTCCACTGTGCCACTCTACAGTGTCTCAGGTTTTCCTCTCTGCTAGCGCTAAGCATGTGGTTTCTCCTATTTACCTTACAGGGCTAGTTTTCCTCTGGAAACCTTGCATTTTTGTGCTCTAACTTTGTATAGACCTTCTAATTTGTCTATGTAGTCCACAAAGCTTTCCAATTTTTTTGTGTAGCCTACAGATGAATGAGCCTACAGATGAATGATAGGCTTCATTCCAGATTAAGGTAGGTCAGTGAATTGCTCCTGGAACAACAGATCTTTAACTTAACCTACCTAGACCAGAGTAAACCATACCCTTAAACTAAGGTCAAGTATAATTCAGAAACTTCCTCCAACTGTGGGACAGAGACTGTCCCACAGGCTGGTCCTAGGAAGGGCCTTAGCTCTAGGCTCCTGGGTCACTCACTTAAAGATGGCCTGTGTTCACTATTCCTTTCCTAACAAAGTTTCCCATTACCTTTGGCTGGGAAAAAAAAAAGATGCTACCTATCACTAAATAAAGACTAAAAACATGGGGGCTGGGAAGGTGGCTCAGTGGTAGAGCGCTTGCCTTGTATGCATGAGGCCCTGGGTTCGATTCCTCAGCACCACATAAGCAGAAGTCAGAAATGGCGCTGTGGCTCAAGTGGTAGAGTGTTAGCCTTGAGCTGAAGAGCTGAGGGACTGCTCCTAGGCCCAGAGTTCAGGCCTCATGACTGACTAAATAAATAAATAAAAATAATGATACTAATAGATAATGTACTTAATAATCTTGTGTGATGTTCAGTATATGGTAAGGCATTATTCTGAATGCTTTTTACATACTAATTTATTCAATTCCACAATGCTATGGAGTGAAATTATCCTCCTATTGCAAATAGAGAGTCAGAGAAGTCAAGTAACTTGCCTAAGATTACACAGCTAATAGTGATAGAGCCAGGATTTAAACTGAGTAATCTGGCTTTTCTGTTTAGGTCTATAAGCCTTTGACTCCAGTGGATTTGTAGAATCTATGGAGTAAAATCCAAAATCCTTTGGGGTCAAATGAGGGTTTTTAAACCCTTATCTCCAGTGTCTTGTCTACTATTCCTTTCAGTGAGTCTTAGACTCCAAGCATCATGACATTTTTAGTGAATATCTTGTTTCCTTTTATAGTCTACTTAGAAGTTGCAAGCCTTTGAACATAAAATGCCCTTTGTTTTCCTTCCTCCCTGCGAACTTCTGTTCATTTCTCAAAATTCAGTTGAAAATTTGTTTTCTCTGAAAACCTCCTCAACTCAGGCTTCTTTTTCTATACTTTAAAAATGAAGAGTCATCACATTATATTGTAATTATTACTTTGTATCCTTTTCCTCTTTTAGTAATTTTAGACTCATCTAAGCCTTGGTGGCAAAACTAGTGTCATGTACTGGGTGGGGGCTTGGCTAAAGTAGTAGAGTGCTTGCTTGGCAAGTGAGAGGCCCTGAGTTCAACCCCAGTACCACCAAAACAAAACAAAACAAACTAAACAATAATAATAAATAATAATGGTGCTAAGAAAGGAACTAAGTAATTGTTTCCTAAACAAATAAATGAACACAAATTTCGATGAGTTCTGGTACAGTTGGCTCACGCCTGTAATCCTAGCTACTCTGGAGGCTGAGATCTGAGGATTGAGGTTCAAAGCCAGCTGCCAGCTGTGGCAGGAAAGACTCTTATCTCCAATAAATGAGAACTCTTATCTCAGAAAACTCTTATCTCAGAAGTAATTCTGTGGCTCAAGTGATAGAGCACTAGCCTTGAGTGGTAGAGCTCAGGGACAACACCCAGGCCCAGAGTTCAGCCCCATGACCAACAAACAACAATAACAACAGCAACAACAAAAACTTCATATGTATTTATATGTAACAAAACTGTCATGCTGTCATTTTGTCACATGAATATTCTAATGTATTTGTTTTTTTAAACTGTGTCATAGTTTTAAGTTTCTACTAGTCTCTGGCCTTATTTTACACAAATTATGGTCTGCCTTTCCGTTTTTGTTTTTTGTCGGTTGTGGGGCTTGAACTCTGGGCCTGGGCGCTGTCCCTGAGCTCTTTAGCTCAAGGTGAGCATCCTACCTCTTGATCCAAAGTGCCACTTCCGGTTTTCTAGTGGTTAATTGGAGATAAGAGTCTCAAGGACTTTCCTGCCCTGGATGGCTTTGAAAATGATCCCCAAATCTCAGCCCCTTGAGTAGCTCTGATTCTATAGGTGTGAGCCACCAGCACCTGGCTAAAAAGGCTAATATTTTAAAATGTATACTATTGTAGGTATAAAATACATAAACAATTTGGTAAGCTTGTAGAGAAGCTGACCAAGATACATAAATTAGGAATGGAAGTATCCATCTATATTTTCTATATTTCATTTTCTCTGGATATTTATTAAGGTTGTTTAATACGCAATTTTGTACTTGTCATCTTGCAAGTCCTTTATTGTAAAGGGAGCTCTTTGATGACAAACAGCCTCAATGATTATTCTGGATCTCCATATTGGATAAGTTCCATTTCTTCTTGAGATCTAAGGTTCCTTCTGTATTTCTGAGGTAGTGTTTTTAATATCATTCCAGTGTCTGGAGGGCCCTGATGCATTTACTTCCCTTAGCATGCTGGGAGACCAAAGAAGAGTGAATAGGAGCCCTGCTGATCTCAAAGCTTCCAATACACTGAGGTTAGGATTGTCTCTTCTGTTAGGGAATCTTATTAATGGAGTATGTGTCTTGATTGCCTGAACAACCCTGCTGGCAGATGCCATCTTGCTGCCCATCATGACCCCAGGAAGGGGTAGCTTCCAGGTTGTCTGCTTTTCTTATATAAGTACCTCACAATTAGGGCCATATCTTAATATTCCCAATAGAGTGGAGTCTAGAACTTGGGAATGTAAAAGATCTTTGTCAAACTTTATTTAATTTTCAATTAGCTGGTTTAAATAGGTTATCTGAGTATCTCTTCTCTCCAAAGCTGTTTCCTCTGACCTGATAGTTTTTTTTTTTTTGTTGTTGTTGTCGTTTTGTCAGTCTTGGGGCTTGAACTCTGGGTTTGGCACTGTCCCTCAGCTCTTCAGTTCAAGGCGATTGCTCTACCACTTGAGCCACAGCGCCACTTCCAGTTTTTCTAGTGGTTTATTGGAGATAAGAGTCTCACGGACTTTCCTGCCCAGGCTGGCTTTGAACCATGATCCTCAGATCTCAGCCTCCTGAGTAGCTAGGGTTACAGGCGGAGCCACCAGCGCCTCGTTTGACCTGATAGTTTTGCTTTCCATTTCACAGATACTATTACCTCATCCCTATAACAATCTTAATAGATGACTGAATGCAAGTTCTTAGTCTAGAGAAATAATAGATCAGTTCTGGACAGAATAAATTTTCATTTAACTTTTCAGTATTCTTAAAAGTGTAAACTCTCAAATTTAAATTGGGCTTTATACTATTTTTACTCAAATCAAAAATACCAGTATATATCCTAGCCTTCAACTATAAAGACAACAATTTTAATTACATGGTATTACAAATGTTTAAAAATTGCTATAATTATTACACTGTACCTGTAATTGGAATTTTCCAGTATGAAAATTTCGAGAAATAAAAACACACTGAGATTGAGATTTAAGTTTTCCTTTCTGTGATCTTTGCTTGACTTTCTCATGGGTTTCTTTGTATTTCGAATTTTGAAATATTTCCCTGAAAAATGTGTTAGAGAAAATATTATTAAGCATGAATTAGATAATAAACCAATTAAATAATTATTCTAATATTTATAAACAAAGGTTTAAAATAATCCAGGGTACTTAATTTTAAAGCAGGCTTCCATTTATATAATCATTTATATATGTTAAATATATTTTATTCAGAGAGTATAAATTAAGATATTTAAGATAAATTAAGAGGGCTGGGAATGTGGCTCAGTCATTGAGTGCTTGCCTAGCATACACAAAGCCCTGGGTTTGATTCCTCAGCACCACATAAACAGAAAAAGCTGGAAGTGGCGCTGTGGCTCAAGTGGTAGAGTGCTAGCCTTGGACAAAAAGAAACTCAGGGGCAGTGTTCAGTCCCTGAGTTCAAGCCCCAGGACAACATCAACAACAAAAAAGATAAATTAAGATACAGTTTGAATATTAGCCATGAGTCACTGATTGATATGATTCTTTCTGGTTATGAGATATTTAACTCTAATTAGCCTTTTCATACATTTATCTTTAATAGAAAAAAGAAATAAGATTCACTGATCTCTCTTGGTATTTAATACTATGTCTGGGGAAAGCAAGAGGAAGGAAACTGAATGAAAATTATAATGGTTTATAATGGTGGAATAACTGTCATCTCTTATTCCCTATACAACCATAAAGTAAGAGAGAGTTTAAAAAAGTGAAGTGGCAAATGAAAGGCAGATAGTTAAGTATAATGAAATGTGATTTCAAATCATTGTAGATTTACAGATTTAGAAATAATGCTCCTACTCAATGAAATATCATTCAATGCTAGAAAGAAATGCACTTTTGAGCCATAAAAAGACAGGGAAGAAATGTAAATATATCTCATTAAATTAAAAAGGCAAATCTGAAAAAGCCACATAGAGTGTGATTTGAACTATATAGCATTCTGCAAAAGGAATAGTCTATAAAGACAGTAAAAAAAAAATCAGTGATAGCCAGAGGTTTGTGAGGGAGAGATGAGTACATGAAATGCAGAAACCTTTTAAAGCAATGAAAGTGCTGTGTGATATCCTAATGATGTATGTCATTCTACGTTTGTGAAAGCTTATACAATATACAACCCCATGAATGAATGTTATTGAAAATTATAAACTATGGGTATTAATAAAATGTTGATATAAGGTTCTTGATTGTAACCCTCTCCAGTACTACTACTACTAATAATAATAATATAGTTATTTCTTCTTTCGTAGATACTATAACATTTGTAAACTAATTCCAGAGCTCATCATACTGTGTTACTTAGTGAAGTGTTGACAATTAGAATCCACAGCTCATTGAACTCAATTCACTTAACAAATATTTATTGAGCACTTATACGCCAGACGTGCTGGGAATTGTGTATATATATGGATGGGAGGAGGGGAGCATACCACTTCCTAAAACTCATTGCTCTCATGAGGCTTATTCTAGTAAGGAAGATAGACATTAATCAATCACAAAAAAATGAAAAAAAATACTGTCAACAAAAGTCACCAAGAAGTATGTGAGCATAGCACAAAGGAAATTAATGTGGTTAGATAGGTCAAGGAAGGCTCGCCTGAATAAAGGATAATTGAACTACAGTGCTGAAGAAATAGGAGTAGCAGAGAGAGGTAGAAGAGGGGAGATGTAAAAGGAAGAATATTCTAGGCAGAGAGAATATCAAGTACAAGAATCTGGAAGCCAGATTAGGACAACAAAGCAAGAGGGGAAATGTGACATGAACTTCATGAGTATGCATGGGCAGAGGATGCTGATGTTTAAAGTCATGTCATTTAATCTTTATCTTAAAGCAATAGAAGTCCTTTAAGTGAAAAGGGAGGATAGGGTGACTTGATTAAGTTTGCTTTTGCAGATGTCTGAAGTGTGAATACAATGTTGAGTTAGGGATCCATTATAACTTCTAGTGCAGTCATCTCTATGTTTGGGGAAAGTACTATCAATAAAATAGAGCTTGGCATTGGTTAATAGAGAGGAATGGAAGAGAGAAGGTGGGGCTCAAGTGGTAGAGTGCTTGCCTCAAAGAACAAGGCCTTGAGTTCAAATGTCGGTACTTTTCCCCCTAAAGAAAACTCAGTAGATGTGAGTGAATTATGAGGTAAAAAAAAACAGTACTTGATGATGGTTCAAATATAGTGGAGCTAGGAAAGAGTGTTATCAAGAATGTATTTCATTTTTTAGAATAGTAAAACCCCTTTTGACTCTAAAGTCAGCTACTGTCATCTTTACCAACTTCTCACAAAATACCAAACAAAATTTCTTGAGACATCTATATTGTTTCGCTTTCTTGCATATTGTGTTCTCCTAAAAGATGAGCTTCCAAACCTATTACTCCACTAAAATTTCATAGAAATCACTAATGACTTCCATGAAAAAAGTCATTTGTCTTCTTTCTCAACTTTAGTGCCCTCAACACAATCCTCCTTGTGACAGTTTTTTATTATTTTTTTTACATCCTTGACACCACACCTTTCTGCTTTTCTTTCTTCTTCAATATTGTTGATTCTTCCTATTCCTCTGTTAGATTACTAAATGTGACTTTCAGGAAGGATACAGTCATACGTCACTTCTTTCAACAACCTCCCTGATTAGTCTCATCTGTGACTTTTGATGCTCTGTTTTTATAAAGTCTTCAAGCCTGGCTTCTCTTGTGAGATTTATCCTGACTACTCTCATGAGTAGTTCCATCTGTCTGTTAGACATTCCCACTTTGATGTCTGATAGTCTTTCAAAGTCATATCCAGAACACAACTCATAGGTTATCCCCACTTCCCCAAACTGATCTCCTTTATGGTTACCTCCTTATCTCACAAAATGGACAAACTATTTACTTAGCTGTTCATGATAAGCATTAGGTGTCAGCATACCTTGATTCAATCTATCAACAAGTCCTGATTCTACCTGTAAAACATCCATGATCTGAATCTTCCTTTATAGCTATGTTCATATTAGCTTAAGATACCATCATCTCTCATATGGACTAAATAGCCTCCTAACTTGTTTCTCTGCTTTCATTCTTGCGCCATCGAAGTTCAGGCTTCACAGATAAGAAACATTTTAAAAAGATATAAAAATCAAAACTGTCATACATTGATATTGGAAGTATACATTTACTTTGGGAAACTGTTGAGCAACTTCTTTCACAATTCAACTCTTAGATATTTACTTCAGAGAAGAAAATAGTTTCCATAAATATATTTTATTTTTTTCCCATAAATATATATATATATTTTGATCGGTCGTGGTGCCTGAACTCTGGGCCTGGGAGCTGTCCCTCAGCTCTTCAGCTGAAGGCTAGCACTCTACCACTTGAGTGTCAGCCCCACTTCCGGCTTTTTCTGCTTATGTGGTGCTGAGGAATTGAACCCAGGGCCTCATGCATGCAAGTCAAGCACGCTACCACTGAGCCACCTTCCCAGCCCCTCCATAAATATTTTTTATAAATCTAAAGAAAATTCATGGGAGCCATCTCCTAAAAGTTAAAAACTGGAAATGGCTCCAAATGATGATAAATCAAGGTATATTCATTTATACAATGGAATACTATTCATCAGTAAAAACAACAAACTGTGAATAAAATGCAACCTAACTAAATATTATAAAGTGAAACAAGCAGATACAAAACAGACCATACAATTCCACTTAAATTCAAGAATGGACAAAATTAATTTACAATGATAGAAATCAGTACAATGGTTGCCTCTGAGAAAGGAAATAGAAATGAATATCTGGAAAGGAGAATGAGGAACCATTGATAGGTGACGAAAAGGCTCTTGACTGAGTTGATTTTACGCACACACACACACACACACACACACACACACACACTCAATCCCGGCTAGACTAAGCACGGAAAGCAAGACTTTCCCTGAAAAATAACTAAACAAAAAGGGCTGGACACATGATTCAAGTTGCATCTGCCTAGCAAGCATAAAGCCCTGAGCTTAAACCCCAGTAACACACACACACACACACACACACACACACACACACACACACACAGTCTATGTAGATTGCTTTGTATTATTATAGTACTTGTTGCAAGCTGTTTAAAACACATGAAGCCTTCCCTTCCCAACCAAAGAGTGTACAATTAAATTCCAGACTACAGAATCATTACAATTACAGCTATTTATGTTTTATTTATTAAAGCTATTTGTTTATTTTTATTGTGAGAATACCATACAGAGGAATTACAATTACATGGGCAAGATAACAAGTACATTTCTTATCAAGCATTGTTTCTCCTCTTTGTTTCCCCTTCCCATCCCTTCCCATATTCCCCCCCCCCCACCTTGTTTAACACTATTTGAGAAAGAATTTCACTGAAGTTCTGTTAAAAAATAGTTAAGCAAATTGGTTGCCGGTGGCTCACACCTGTAATCTTAGCTACTCAGGAGACTGAGATCTGAGGATTGCAGTTCAAAACCAGCCAGGGCAGGAAAGTCCAAGAGACTCTATCTCCAATTAATCACAGAAAAATCCAGAAGTGGTGCTATGACTCAACTGGTAGAATGTTAGTTAGCCTTGAGCAAAGAGGAGCTCAGGCCCAAAGTTCAAGCCCTAGGACTAGAAAAAAAAACAAACATTAAGCAAAATATCTAATAAACCTTACCTTCTTTTGCAAATCAGGAACCACAAAGCTGATGCCAAAGCGAAGAAACCAATTCCTAAACTAACAGCACCAGCAGCCAGAAAATAGGTTAAGTGGTAAAAAAAACCTATACAAATAAATCAAAGATTATTTCATGCATGTATCTTCATTCTCTAGATAAAAACAAATAATACAATACTTCAAATGATACAACATAGTTTAGAGCTTAGACTGAGTGGAAGATTAGGAGATTTGAATTCTACTCTTGTGCAGTTCTAATGAGCTTGAAAACACTGAGCTAGAAAGTGACATGGGGCCTCCAGGGCACATTTTTTAACCCTTCTGGCAGATTTGAAACCAAGGTTTTGTTTGTTTTAATACATCTGTACCTC